ATATATATATATCGGTGGTGGAATAGAGAAAGTCGATTAGCATCCTCCGCTCAGAGAGACCAGGTCTCGCAACCGTAAAGCAAAACACTACGAACTGCGGCGCTGTACACTCTTCCCTTAAGGGACAGTCGGATGTCATGGCGGCGCCACAAGTGTCTTAGGTTGGCGAAAGCTGCTCTAACTTTCGCTATTCGTGATGTGATCTCGTCCCCAACACCATCACCAGCTGCGATCAAGCTCCCGAGGTACTTGAGGCTCCCAACTACTTCTAGCTGATCACCACAGAAGGTGAGTGCAGACACAGGCTCCTGCCAGTCTTGAACCAGTTTTCCGCCTCAGAAGGTGAGTCTGTTGTGATAGACCATGGGACGTGTGCCGGAATAGCTGTGAGGAGCTGACGCTGGTGGCCAGCTAAACTGCTTTGAAGGGCTTCGCCCAGCGTGCAAGACGTCACTGTTGATTGTGAATGGGCAAACCGTCAACTTCGCAGACAGTTTCGCTCACACCCAAGGCTCTCCTACCGGTGACCCGGATGAGATGGAACAGCTTACGGTAGTTTCCCATGGCGGCAGCACGTTCCATCTCTATCGCGCTTTGAGTCCACCAGATCCCGTGGTCTCTGCGTAGGCTTACGTTGAGGTTTCGACTCGTTGCTCGTCGTATTTCATTGTGATCGCTGCCGATGAAGTGCCTTTTTTTATTACACACCGTGCGATGAACAGCAGACGAGGTAAACCCCATAGTTACGAGGACCTGCTGTTCATTGATGGTAACCGATAGCCTAAGCCCCGGGACCACAAAGGCCCCGCCAGGTTAGGTATGGTATTGAACTGGACGACAGCAAAGCTGCCTACCACCAAATTTGGGTGGCGGTGGCGGGGCTTAAACCTCTGACCATAGGTCCAAAGTACGCCTGCGACAGTGATTAAATCACTGCACCATCACCGCCTACCTGTGATTCACCACAGTTATTTCTTCATTTTTATCCCCCTCACGCTTACGTTCGTTTCCATTTTCTTGAACATCTGTGTCACGATTTGATTGATTCAGTCAAAAACCATACCACTAATAGATATATCCCAGGATGTTGATCTTTATTCCTCAGTTCGGTGGGAGACACCAGCACGTGAATGCAGAGAATTGGGGAGGTTATTAGTCTACGAGCATTTCGCGAGGTGTAACGAGTCACCAATCATGACCCAGGACACCTATCCCCATTTTCTCTTAGTCAGAGTTGTACTACACGTCACCAATCAAAGTACTGTCTCTTCATCGTGAACTGTCGTGATAGATGGTTTATAGAACAGGGCAAATATATTGTGACGGGTTCCTTAACTGACAAGGATGTTGGGGTCTCTGGTTTTGGTAACACCTCTCAATGAAGAACCCACCAGTTTCCTACTGAACAATTTCAAACGTTTACTTATGGTTCCACTGAGTTGCTTGCATCTAATAAGGGCCGCACTCCGGCTACTAATTGGAGGGAGATAAACAACATGAAGAATACTGACGTGCATTAGCACCACCAAGTTGCCTTCCAGGTTGGGGTCCGAAGGACTCCACAGCCGATTGGTTGGAGACATTGAAGGATATGACAGCGAACCGACAGCAGTGGCTTTCTTGTCGTTTCTTATCAGGCCAGACCGCTTGAAGCGGTATGTATGCAGTGCACTGTGTGTTAACCATAGTGGTTCACCTTCTCCCTCCCTCAAAATAGGTCCAATCCCTGTGCACCTTAAATTTTACCAATAATTTTGTATGCATTGCAGGTTTGGCAGCGATCAGTGCAGTTTGCTTCACTGTATTTCGCTGTTCGATGATGATGATGATGATGATGGCCACCAAGTCGGACATCGAGCAGTTTGAACTCGTCTTTGGACGAAAAGTTGCATTTCTTTTTGTTTGTGCTTCACCTCGGATTGTCTTGCCTGGGCAGGTACCATTCGAAACATCCGTTGATCCGAATAATCCTTCCTTAGTTCTTGTCGTCTCTTATCAGGTCAGAATGCTTGAATCGGTATGTATGCAGAGTTCGTTGCGTACTGTGTGTTGACCATAGGGGCTCACCTTCTCCCTCCCTCAAAATAGATCCAATCCCTTCCCCTCTAAATTTTACTACTAACCTTGTATGCATTGCGAGTTTGGCAGCGATCAGCGAAGTTCGCTTCGCTGTATTTCGCTGTACGATGTTGATGAAGTGAACGGCATCATTCCTCTGTAGAGAAAGAGACTAACGCCATCGTTGAAGCTATCCGTTCATATATCCGATAGTTAATAACTGCTCATTTTTTGGCCCTACTCATTTTGAGAAAATATAAAGTATTGAAACGATGTTACACATTTTTTTTTAACTCGTACGCATTTTGAATTTGACAGCAGTCACCGAGGTTCATTTTAACTGATGATGGTGGTCACAGTAGGAATTTGAGTGTTTTCAGTTTCAGTTTTTACAACCATTAACCATGCATTTTCGTGCGCCAATTTGGGTTGCTGTCCTTTGGCCGCCCGTTTGGATAAAATAGAAGGATGAAGATTGGAATGTTGAAAGCCGATTGAAGCAGTATATAGAGAATTCATACGGACTAGTGTTAAGAGAATAATGAGTAGATGCGTGAGCACCACTGTTTGCGACACCCAACCACATCGCTCAGTGCCTCTAACCATCGGTGACTATGATCTCGGGGTCCCCAGCCAGGGAGCCTAACGGGACCTATGTGACCCAGTCTCCTGGTTAGGATTTTGATACCCTCATGCCAGGTCTTCGTTTGACCACCCTTGATCTTTTCCAACCAAGCCCTTCCTCGGTAAACATCGCTCGCCGTGGCAACCTATTTGGTGACATGCGTAACACATGTCCCAACCAACGTAATCTATGGAGGCCGACTACCTGCTCCAGTGGACGCGTGCGATTACCTAAAACTGTACGCCTAACCTCGGCATCGCTGGTTCGGTTGCCCCACCAGACTCGTGAAATGCGACGGCGGTGTTCGCTGTCTACATCGCATTTTAGAGTGTAGGTAAACGTTATCTTGTAAACAACTCTTCTTTCACACACGTCTGAGTTTAGACTGGTCGCCAAACAAACCAGTACAATGATCTTTATAAAAATAAATAAAGGTGCCATGATTTTTGCTTACTGAGGAAACACTGGAGCCACTAGGAACGAGTAGATTCCGAATGTGGGTAATTTCGATAGTAGACCTTCATGCAAACGCGGTTGAAGGCCATTGAAATGTCTAACGAGACAATGTAAGCTTCTCCGTGGTTATCAAATACAGTTGAACAGGAATGCGATGTAAGCACCAGTAAGTCACTCGTAGATCGACGAAGGCGAACACCACATTGACGACCATTCAACAAACCTTCGCGTTCGCAAGACGTACGCAGGTGGTGGGATATAATGGTTTCAAAAACTTACGAAATTACAGGCACGAGAGTAATGAAAGGATAGTTGTAGGTTTCGAAAGGGTCACTATGTTTCAGAATAGGGAAAATAATGACATTTTTCCATGGAGTGGGGAAGAGTTGAAATCGAGTGAAGAACAGAAAAGGCGGCGTAAAACGGGCTAATTCTGGGGCACATTTTTAGAATGATAGTTGGAATACTGTCCGAACTAGGTTGTGTACAAACATCCAAACCACGAAGAGTTTGGTGGACCTTTCTGGTTATGATAGATAACAAGGAGTGGCTGGATGTATGGGAGGAGAGCTGAACTGTGGAGTCGGTAGATAAGTTGGAGTTGGAGGCAAACCAGGATGCGAAAATCTGCTTTTTCGTGGGTTCAAAAACATGAGTACCAGAGGAATTGCAAATAGAAGGAAAGTTGGAAGGGCAAAAATTACATGAAGCCGCTTTAGCGAGGGACCAGAATGTTCGGTTATTAGTGGCTCAAGAAGCCAATTGCTCAGCTGTGGCGAATGAATCATGCTCAGCTCTCTGTATGACGAGCAACCAAATCCTAATCTGCAAGGCAGCAGGGCGGTTTGTGAAAACCGCGGTCTATTGGGATCGGTGTCCAGTTGGTCGGATCGTGCGCCTTTTGGACAAGGTTAAGCGTCCAAGGTACGCAATACACTTCGATAACCAATCGAACCGGTGACCACTGTCATAACCAGCAAAGTGTGCATGTGTGTGTGGTTCGTACGCCTCTGGGTTGGTTGAGAATCTGTGATTTTGGTCTACTCCCCTGGGTAAACTACCAGATATTGGCTTTTTGTCCTCTCACTTTGATGTGAAAACACCTGCGGCGAGAAGGTAGTAAGTAGGGCTTCCTCAGCAGAGGCTATTTGAGACGCTTGGCCGTACACAAGCATCTTAACAGGCGCGAGGAAAGGATGATTGGCCGCAACCTGGGTCCCCCACCTTGGACCATACTGAGGCTTTCGGAGTTGAAAACATTCGACTCATTCCACCCGAAATCCGATATTATTCGTCAGCATGTATGCTTTGGAATCCGATATTCGGATTACCTATCGTGTTATCAGCCTGATGGTCGCCGTTTGCGGATTATTTGGGAATTAGTATGCTTCTGAATTTGCCGAATCAAGGTTCTGCAATCCATTTTAATGGATTGGTTGCTGGTTTTTCGTTGAATCCTTTGCATTTACGGATATTGGTGTTTGTTCATCAAGCACGGTTACTGACAGGAATAAACGAAACATGCCCAACATCCCCAATTTATTTTTTCCTAGCCATTCTTGCTCATATTTATATTGTATTTATTTTCACCCTAGCCTTTACTGAGACCGGCTTTACCGTTGTTATCCATGTCACCAAGATGATAATATGGTTAAATGTGTAGATTCAGCTTACTGCACCGCAACGTATTCGAATGTAGCATATTATATCTAATTACAAACATGAACATGCAGTCTATTATATTTTCTGTTGCATTTCAGGTGTCACGTGGTCCGTTTTCTTCACACGACCACCCCAATGGGGGCTGTGCGGTCTGTCTCCGTACCACCTTTCGCCGAATCCGTCAGCGAAGGTGATATTGTATGGAAGAAAGCGGTTGGAGATCAAGTACGAGTAGACGAGGTCGTTGCAGAAATCGAAACCGATAAGACGAATGTGCCGGTGCCTGCTCCGTTCGCCGGTGTGGTTACTGAACTCCTGGTTGAGGACGGAGGCAAAGTTGTTCCAGGTCAAGAAATTTTCAAGGTTGATGATGCTGCTGCCGTAGAGGGTGCTGTCAAAGAAAAAGCGGCTGACCAAGCACCTACTGCGAAGAGTTCACCATCACCACCCAAAAGCTCTGAACAAGCACCGAAAGAGCCCCGTGCAGCGCAAGAACAACCTAAACCGGCTCCAAAATCTGCGGAGGCACAACAACTTGCGGTTCCTCCTGGTTTGAGCACTGCATCATTTACTGGAGAACGAGGAGAACAACGTGTCAAGATGTCGCGGATGCGTCTACGTATATCACAAAGGCTAAAGGATGCGCAGAACACATGTGCTATGTTGACCACATTCAATGAGATCGACCTTTCCAACTTATTAGAGCTACGAAATTCATACAAGGAGGTTTTTCAAAAGAAGCATGGTGTCAAATTGGGCATGATGTCCACGTTTGCCAAAGCCTCAGCCGTAGCTCTACAAGACCAACCTGCGGTAAACGCTGTAATTGACGGTGGAGATATTATTTATCGAGATTATATCGACATCAGTATAGCAGTGGCTACTCCAAAGGGACTTGTGGTACCTGTAGTAAGAAATGTGGATAAAATGAACTACTTCGAAATTGAGAAAGAGATTTACGATCTTGGTCAAAAAGCTCGGCAGGGTACGTTGGCGGTTGAAGACATGGATGGTGGAACATTCACAATCAGCAACGGTGGTGTATATGGGTCCTTATTTGGGACTCCAATAATTAATCCACCACAATCAGCAATACTCGGTCTCTACGGAGTTTTCGACCGACCAGTGGCACACAAAGGCCAGGTTGTTATACGACCGATGATGTATGTAGCACTCACCTACGACCATCGATTAATTGATGGACGTGAGGCGGTTACATTCTTGCGGAAAGTCAAGCAATTTGTGGAAGATCCTCGGACTTACTTCCTTCAAATTTAAAACTGGTGTACTCATAGCAAAGTGGAGGGCAATACGCAACAGCAGGGTTGGATTGCTCGAATCGCATGATTCGCTGTGCTTTGATGTTTATCCTCCGTAGATTTCAATCTTGCTGTCTTCACCACCTTGCCGTTTGAGTTCTCGACTAATCGCAAAATATAATACATATTTCACGCCAGTTAGCACTGGTTTTTTTGTGCTAGCGCTCCACAAGGTATACATTCACTACTAAACGTTTGACAACTTCCGAAACGAGACTGAACTTTCAGAAGTCCATCTTTCAACCCCTGTAAAAACCAGTTCGTACGCTGTCCCTCGCCGTGTGCTTTTCGTCAGAACTTTTATCCTCTATTTGAAGTAAGCACTTCGTCGCGCACATTTTTCGGTCACAACCGGTCGTCCTATTCAACTCATTTTTCGCCCTTTTAGCCTATATTGTATTTCGACCCACTTTTTTTGTTGTGGGTCGGGTGACCTCATTTTGATGTTCAACAATGTATGAATAATTAGTTTACTACTCAGGACTTCGCGCTTTTTGATACTTACGATGGTAAACCGCATGATGGTTCTTAGCGCTCTGAACGTTGGTGATGGTGGTTGTGTAGTGATTTACCGGCGTGCTTCGGATCCTACGGTCCGAAGTTCGAATCCCGCCACCCAATTGTGGTGGTAGGCTGCGTTGCTGTCGTTCGATCAATATGGCGCCTAACCCAGCGAGACAATGTGTGGTCTACCACTCTAAGTCCCGGGCTTAGGCTACGGCTATCCTTCTTTGAACAGCAGGTTTTCACGACCATAGAATTCATCCCCGTCTGTTGTTCGTCACAAAAAATGTGTAATAGTAAAACGAGATGAATGTCCTAATACCAACCTGGCTTGACGTGAGTCCGTTTTGGAAACGATAGTTGGATTTTATTTTACGTGAGTCAACCAGAAGGCATTCGTAGTTTGTAGTGTTTCCGGATAGATTATATTTTGAGCTTTAGCCATTCTGAACGAGCAATATAGCAATATTAGCTGTAATTAGTCTATGTGATCAAACGGTTCAAATCGCTTTTATTAGTGTGAACCAGTTAAAAATAACTTTCGAACTCTGCCGTCGTCCTGCAACGTTGATGGTAGAAAAAATTCGCTCTCGTGCTGCTCATGACTACGCTTGTCCTATTTGGCCATACTACTTCAAGTCCACGGTCACCTATTTCCCGAACGGTTCAGGTGGTAGATTTGTCTGACTTTAGGGTTTATCCGTTCTACAAATCACAACGCACCGTCGTGTTCTAAGAAGTAGTCACAATTCATATCGTTATTACGAGATCGCGTTGACGGTACTCAAATTGTATTATCCAGTAACGTATTGTCACTCGGAATATTTTGCAACATTGCTTAAGTTCAGTTACTGGTTCATAAGAAATAATAAAGATTTATTGTAAAAAGAGTATGTGCATATTTCAAGCTAGGTCCTGAGACCTTGTGATTGGCCACGTTGAGTTCCACCGCATGGGCTGTTGGTCTCCACAACTTTGCGGGCCGTCCAGCTTGCTGTGTAAAGTTAATGGTGTATGTTAACACAAATCGTACAGCCTTTCGTCGAATCCGATCACGATGGACGGAAGGTAGACAGTTTTTCGACATACATAACTTTTCAAAGAGAGGCTCATGACGATAAGTTGGTATTTGGTACCGTCAAAGTGGTTATGTTATAAATGATACCAATTAAATGCTTACTCCTTCGGTGTTGGAGAAAACCGAAGTAGAAAATCCACAGCAGCTGAAGGGAACTAGGCGTAAAGCGGAGTATTCAGGTATTAAGAAGTTACACGATTATGAGACCCCGGTCAGAGTTGAGTTCTGTGTTCGAATGAGGTAAGGCGTTGATGGACGACGGGTCTGCACAGATGCTGAAAAAGGTGAAGTGAGACGGATAAGGGTAGGACTTGATGTTGTTACCATCGGTAAAACAATGCATAAAATTGAAAGTTGGGAAATTGCCGCACGTTTATAGGTGCCAATTTTCTCATGGAGAGTATTCGATATGCAGGACACGCATTCAGTGGGGGAAAGCAAACGGCCTTTATATTTCGCTATCTGTGTACTTCCACCAAGTCTTCCCAAGCTCCGCATATTCAACTATGCGATTCCCTGACGTGAGTGCTACCGATCCGCTGTGATAGAGAACATCTATGACTTCTAGCGTGAATAATGTGATGGTAATAATTAATAGGGTTTGAGGGCTCAACGATTGGGAATGGTAACTATTACAGATCAGTGCAATTGGTTGGAGTGAAGAGATAAATACAAGTGTGGCATCAGTTCCGGAAGTTGGCTTATTTTATCAACGACAGCAACCAAAACCGGTGCACGAACGTGCATGATTAATGGTTGCACAAACTGGAAACAAATTATTTTAGCGACAGCTGGGAAAAATCCCGTCTGGTTCAGTTTTTGTATCCTGTCTATAATAGAGCTTGGTGTATCATTCTGGTGGATGTTCGAGGAGTCCAATAGCACAACGGGGACCAGAAACTTAGGCTCCATCGATCAGTTCACTCCGTCATTAGACGTTAAGGAAGTATATAGGTCAAAGACTAGGAGACAGCTTTCGTGGAGGACTGGAGAGTCCACTTCGCTGTGTATGTGATGCCTGCTTGTGTCGCTTTGCGTTGGATGTATAGAGTGAGCCAGAGGGAACTGGAGCCGCTACAATGGCTGCTCACCAGCTTGTTTTTTGCGTAATCTTGGTGAGCTTGATTAAAAGAAACAGTGAGTGTTTGCATTGCAGAAAAACATTGCAATTTAGGAACGGAGGTGAGATCATTCGGGGAAAAGTAGAAGCCATTTCGGTTAATGAAATTCTTATCGCCAAGGAGAGCATCCGGAAGCATTAACGGAATAGGAATGGACAGTTGATTTAATATTCTGCTTTCTCGTTGAATAGGCGCTTTTCTCCACGAATTGAAGTGAACTATCAGAGATTTTCAAGGTAAATAAGATACTCCTGGGCATTATTCGAGCTTATTTGGCTGAAAGCTTGTATATAAATCGCTAAAGCTTCGATACAGTACAATACAATCCGTGAGCATTATCCTGCATGACTGGGAAGTGGAATAATTAAGTTGATCACAACTGCGAAAGTTTCGCACTTCATTGACGCTAATCAGGCCGTAAGAGGTGATTGAAGCGTTCGGATCTTTAGACCCTCTGACCACTGGTTTTTGTATTCTAGCCTCTCCAAAGGTAATCAGTATCCGCCCCTCCTTCTCGGTGGTCTAAAACGATTCATACAAGCACATAGGCCCTTCTTAAACAGATTGCCGACACGTTTACCGTGCTGAACAGGCGCTAATTGGCTCCTCACATCCGAACATTCAAGTTATTATTTCTTTTCACAACGAGATCCTTTCTGTAATTAGTTCAATATGTGTTGGATTTGTGTAATTAGGAAACACTGAAATCGAACTTGTTTACCACTGGGATTGATTAGACATTGCATCAATATTCATTGTAGGATGTGTATATTGGACATGGAATTGGAACGGAAAAAATCATCCAAACGGGGCTCAGTTTCATTGATCGAAACAGTCACAGCGGCAGAACAAACAGAGACAAAAAATGCAATGTCGGACTGATGAAACGGAGATGACAGCCAGGCAGAGTAGGCATCAGCGTAGCATCCCATAACTGGAAAATAACCGCAGAATTTCACACAGATTCACATTGCATGCTAAAGAAATGATTGGAGCCGGTAGGCTAACGAGGTGAACAAAAGACCGTGAATGCCTATACGGAAGCTTGTGAAGCGAAACCAGAAGAACCAAATGGTTTACTGAGCTAAATCCCGACTGTCGTGTGGTCAACAGGGTATGACGCACCATAGGTCACATGCGTGTGAAATGGGACAAAATGAACGGGTCGATAGTACACCTTATTTTACCAACCGGCAGACAATTTTTCAGTGTTTTACTGGGCAAACTTCAACAGAACTGTTTGTATAAGAGCAACCGTGAAAAAGTGGGAATAAAAACATGGGGATTCGTGTAAAGGTATTCGAAGAAGATTTTGTTTTTAATGATCAATCAGCTGTTCTGTTTGTCTGTCTAGATAAGGAGCACTAGAGCGATCATAGTGCGGGTATACACTTGTTTGAATTTGTTACGGATCACTGATTTGGAAAGGAAACAAGAAATACAAGTTTGGAGAGGGTGGGGATTATCGGACATTACTGGTTTACACAATCAGTCAAAAGATGTGGACAACTTTTAACTACGAAACAAGCAGTGAATTTCGTGGAAAAGTCGGTCCCCATTGCGTTTTGTGTTCAAAATCATTGTTCTACCCATCCAACTGATCTTGCTTACTTGTCTGTCGATCTATCGATCCATTTTATCGTGACCTGTTATTTACCGGACTGAATGGGGTCAATTACCACCGTGTTCGGTCATACTCGTTTGACCTCATCTGAACACCGATAAGGGTCCCAGGGTATGAAAGATCGAATCTCCACTCTATTAAATTTTGTTGCGACAGTCCCAGTTCGAGCGGTGAAGCATTACGGCTAGAGCACCAGTCGCGTTAGGAACCCCTCCTCCCCCCACACAGAACGTGATCAGTGACCTAACTTGAAATTACAACATTGACACAAGTTGAAATTGTTTCATCTGTAGTCAGAACGGTATAGACAGAATATTTTATAATCACCTCTGATTACACTCTCAAGTTCACAGCTGATATCTCCACGGCCGCCTGAAATCCAAACTTTTCCTCAGACGGTGAGGTAGTCTGTCTACAGTTTCCAATGTGTTAAAAACATACTGTTGTGATAGTGATGGCATAATGCACGCCAGATTCTTGGTGGCGAAAATTGTACGTGGAATGCCGATGACCATATAATCAACATGTTTTTGGGGTGGTAACATTATGTGCAGTCAATCATCGTTCACTCTGTCAGAAATCATCACCACTGTGCTTTTTTGGAAAGTGAGCGAGAGGAAGCAACCAGTTAA